TAATAATCAGAATAAGGTCTTGGGGGGTGCTATATAGCTATACTGAGGAACCCGGCCCTAGAGGTCTGAGACGGCATTTTTTTGTTGAGGGGGGTGGGGGGCTTACTGATTCGACGAGGTTTTGGGGGGATCTACCTTAGTCAGGTCCACACAAGGAACCTTCGGGAAGAGAAATGCGAGTTCAGATGCCGGAATCCTACTTTAGGGCCTTAGGAGTCAGGAATCAGTGCTGAACATGTCTTGCCTGGCAACGTCGTGCTCCAGCCCTCGAGCTGTGGTTTTGGGCGAGGCAGATCGTAAGCCCTGAGGCAGAAAAGGTTCACATGTGCTTCACATGCAGTCACAGCCAGAACGGCTCAAAACCTCGGTTGAGGGTTTGGGTGTTTTGGGGATGCAAGGTTCTGGGTGGTTTGGGGCGCTGGATTCTAGGCTGGTACTCCGTATTGGTAGGTATTTCGGGACAATTTGCGGGTCTTGGGTATGGTGTTCGTAGACTCTCTGCCCCCCATGTTGAAGGGTCCAAGGCAACAAATGCTACTGAGGTCACGCACAAGAGCGTCCCAGAGAACTGTCCCCGCTTCAATGCCACGGATGGATGCGTCAGCCTCACGAACCCTGAGGCTTGCTTGTGGACTTGGCTGGCTAAGAAATGCGACGGCTCACCATCCGGTGAGATTCAATGGCAAGCCTGTGACAGCCAATCAGACGTGAACACGAAGTGTGATACCTGGGAGTACGTCTTCAAAAAGGATCACCCTGAGATCAATTGCATCGCTAGAGACTTGGCGATTTATTTTACCACGTGTCCCACTGCACCCAAGTAGCCGTAAGACCACAACGACGGTTTCATAGCAGCGGATCCGGAAGGAGACTATAAACCCGCAATCACTATTAAACCCCCCAAACTTGCCATAAACCCTGAGCCTTAAACCCCGCCCTGAAGCCCTGCCCTACGCAAAGGATACCATTGTACTTCCCCGAACTTCAACTGCCTGGCTCTGCGAGCGCAGTATCTTGTGAAACCCTCGAGCTGGAACACCTTCTCGGCAGACAATTCGGCCTTTGTGAACGCCTTTCGGAGCCTTGGCCTTGGCATGTCAGATTGAAATACAGTTATGGGAAACTCTGAGTCTCCCAGTGCTCTGCTACCCTTCTCTGGTGGATCTCCCTTTGTCAAACCGGATCTGGAAAGAGCATATGTCTTTGATACGGGCAACTCTAAGTCAGTACTCTGAGTCTCCCAGTGCTCTTGTGGTAAGGTTGTTGTCTTGGCAGATGGTGCGGTGATGGTTCGCGGATGCTTGTGGTAAGGTTGTTGTCTTGGCAGATGGTGCGGTGATGGTTCGCGCATGCTTGTGGTAAAGTTTTTGTCTTGGCAAATGGTGCGG